TCTTCAGGCCTTACCTGGACAAATTCATGGTTGTTCACCTAGATGATATTCTAGTATTCAGCCGAACTGCCAGGGAGCATGCGGAGCATCTGGCTCTGGTTCTTCAGTCGTTACGTGACAGCCAGTATAAGATCAACAGAGAGATGACTCTGTCGGCTATCTGGGTCATATAATCTCTGGAGATGGGTTGACCCCTGAAGCAACCAAAATTGTTGCTATTCAGGAGTGGCCCCAGCCACAGACAGTGAGGGATGTCAGGTCCTTCATGGGTTTGGCTTCGTACTACAGAAAGTTTGCCAGAAAATTTTCTGCACTGGTCGCACCCCTGACTAACCTAACAAAGGGAGACACTCATTTTCTTTGGTCCCTCCCCTGTTAGTTGGCCTTCACACGACTCAAGAAGGCCTTGACTCGTGCACCCGTGCTGAAGTTGCCTGACATCATTTTGCCATTTATCCTGACTACGGACGCCAGTCAGTGAGAGAAGGTTTTCAGGATGCAGCCTGCCTAAACAGGTGGGTTTCAGGGTCTTTGGACCTTTCACCACTTCAGGACCATTCAGGTCTGAAAATCCTGAATGGTCCTGAAGTGGTGAAAGCTCCGAAGACCTTGAAAACCACTTGTTTAGGCAGGCTGCATCCTCAAGTGGTGAAGGGTGGTTTTCATGGTCTTCGAACCTTTCACCACTTCAGGACAATTCAGGATTTTCAGACTGCCCAAAACTCTCACTCGACCACTTCAGGACACCCTTCACCACTTCAGGATGCAGCCTGCCTAAACAGGTGGTTTTCAGGGTCTTCGGACCTTTCACCACTTCAGGATCATTTAGGATTTTCAGACTGCCCAAAACTCTCACTTCAGAATTTTCATTCCTGAATTTTCAGCTACCCGATAACCGCTTGTGCAGTCAATATGGCATTGGGGCAGTTCTTCAGCAAGATGATGGGAATGGTGTACGGTCTGTAGAGTTCATGAGCAAGAAGATCAAAACACAGAAGCTTCAGGACTCTACCTACGAGAAAGAGTTGTATGCTCTTGTCTGTGCAATAAAGCATTGGAAGCACTTTCTCCTGGGAAGACACTTCAAGATTTTTTCTGATCATTCCACGCTACAGTGGATGAAGTCCCAGGGAGAGTTAAACGATAAACTAGCATGGTACATTCAATTCATTGACATGTTTGACTTTGAACTGAGACATAAGAAGCGCTGCTACAACAAAGTAGTAGACGCCCGCTCTCGTAGGCCTGACGCTTTTGTGTTGATCTCCTCTACTCACTCCTTCGGAGAGGAGACCTGTCAGACCATTGCCCGTTTAATGCCTCCAAACCAGATGTATGGACCCATAGTCAGGAATCTGCAAGCAGATCCCAACTCTGAACTAGGCTATGCCCTGAGTTCAGACTTGTTATACACTTACAGCAGGGGTGAGGAGTGCTTGTGCATTCCCCAGGACCAGCGACTGAGGACTCTGCTGATGTCAGAGTGCCAAGATGCATGCGACCATTTTGGGTTCCTCAAGTCATATGCAGCGCTGTCGCAGCGCTTCTTCTGGAAGGACATGCGGAGTGATCTGTTGTGCTGTATTGAAACCTGTGAGCTCTGCCAGAGAAATAAGGTCTAGCGTAGATCTCCTCTGGGACTGCTCAAACCCTTGCCCATACCTTATGGTCCTGCTGAATCTGTATCTATAGATTTTACAGATCTAGGCAAGACCACCCCTCATGGCATGTGTCAGGTAATGGTCCGTGTGGACAGGTTCTCCCCTTGCTAGAAGTAGCTAGGGTCCCCGCTGTGAGAGCAGCGCTTTCAGAGAGCTGGGTCACTCACCATGGACCGCCCACTTCTATAGTCAGTGATAGAGATCCACGATTCTGCAGCAATGAGTGGCAGTCCGACTGCAAGGACTACCTACACTCACGATTGGACATGACTTTTGGCCGTCATCCTGAAGCCAATGGTCAGGCTGAAGTGATGAACCAAGTCTAGTTTCATTTGCTGCAGCCTTTTATCTCTCCAGATCAACAGGAGTGGGATCTCCACCTGGCTCGTGCACAGCTTGTTTACAATACCTCTATCCACTCTTCAACTGGGTTCAGTCCATATCGTTCGCATTGGGGACGTGAGCCACGACAGCGTCTTGATAACATCATCAATAAGGCTAAGTCTGATCTGACTCCTGGCACTGCAGAGTTTACCAAACGCTACAGAGCCGATGTGGAAAGGGCACGGACGAACATGTTCAAGGCTCAAAAGGTCATGATTGAACAAGCTAATCACAACCGACGTCCTTCCCCCATTCGTACTAGCGATTACGTTTGGGTAGCCAGTTCAAAGTTGTCGAGGGAAGAGGATATCTCTCCCTGCCACGATACCTAGGTCCGTGGCAAGTGTTAGATTCAGTGGGCTCCGATCCTTTTGGCCCGTCGTACGTTATCAACGTCCCACTGCATCTACAGAACTATCCGGTCTTCCATGCATCTAAGCTGCTTCCCTTCATCCCAACTGATGCATTCTCTGACCAGCCCCTCAATTTGGTCCACCGATCCCCGGCAAGGGATATGACGTGGAGTCCATCGAGGACGAGTGGGGCACTGGCCCCGGCCGACAGTATCTTGTGAAGTTCTGTTTCCAGCCTCATACCGAGGATAGGTGGTTCACCAGGAAAGAACTTCTCAAGACAGTGAAGTCTGTAGTACTTCGTTACGAGGCGGCTCAGAAAGGGAACCTTCCTCGCCGATCTCCTCGTCCGCACCCCTAGCTCGGAGGTCCTCGCTCCCCGAGAGGGCAAGCCTGCAATGACTAGCTGATTTCTGCTGTCGAGATCTGACTGCGAGGTTGTATAGTCGTGTCTTAGGGTCAGATTCGTAATTTTGTTTGTGTCAGGGACTAACCGTGAGTTCAGTTTGAGGGAAATCCAGGAGGGACAGATCTGTAAATCTGGAAGATTACATTTCCAGTAGTACCCCGAATTTCCTCTAGTACCCTCACTGCCTCTAGCAGTACCGGGCTATCACTAGGACAGCAGGCCCAGCGGACCTTGGGCTGTAGCGACGGTCTCACACCATATAGCCGGATAGGGTCCAGGCTGAACAGGCCAAACTGAAACGGTACCGGTCCCAGTAGGTCTAGGTCTGAAGGAGGTCAGTCTATTAATAGGACTGGGCCGGTAGTTTAGGGACTTTTGGCTGTTCATTTTCAGGATGCAGCGTTTGGAGCCAAGCAAGTTGGTGGTGAGGATTGTCTACAGGCGGCATCCTGAGACTCTCTCCGTGGACGGCAGCCATAGCCAGTCTTCCAGAGGTTGCCATAGCTGGGGCATCCTCGGAGCATCTACCCCTGAGGGTATCTATGTGTGGGTGGGCTACACTGAGGCTCTTCATTGAGTATTCGTGGGTGGACCACTGTCGCCCATCTCTCCTCCGGAGTTATCAGGGCGCTATCAGTGGTGTGGCAGCCATAGCTGCCAGCTTCTTCGTCAGAGTTGTTCAGCGGCGCTGAAGGCTTCATCGCAGCACCTGTTCCCCATCTGGGCGGTTGGCGCTGGCCTCAGGGAGGCCATTTCAGGGTTGCGCTACTAACTGGGTGTAGGATAGAGAGTTGTGTGTGGAGTGCTGAGGGTGGCGAGATACTGGAACAAACTCTGTAACGATAATTGGTTTGAGTTGGCCCATCATCAATGTGAATCCTATTGTTATCCTCGCAGGTGTCTTCTTGTGATTGGTTGTTGGGAGTTTCGTCAGAGAGCGAGAAACACTGTGTGTCTTTCCCCATCTGTGCATGTATTCCGCTGCCTATTCTAATCTGTGTACAGTTTGGACTCTGTCTCCTCTCCCCTTTGTCTTATGCATGTATGGGCGTGTATGAGATTGTCTGTGTGTGAGTGGCGGTGAAAATCGCCAGACAACCAAGTTCATAACACAGGTGTAATTGGAGAGGCTGAGGTACATAGAAAACTCATCCAACTCCTGTTGGACTTCAGCTCTGCTCCCACAGTTAATTTCCTGATGTCTGCTAGTTGATCCTGCTGCTGCAGTACCAACATAATCAACAGCTTTACAGCGGTAGGTGTATCATCTGCCATAGTGGATCCTGTATATCCGCCATGAACCATTGTTGATCCTACTCTTTTTCTTTTCAGCACAAATCCTTGTTAGCTCTTGCTCTAGCTGGCTTTTTCGCCGGCCCAGTGCCAACTGTTTGTCACAATTTGAGCCTCTCTATCAGGAGGGGCTGGTGAAGCAGAGGGAGCGCCTTGTTCAGAGGAAGCAGCTCACACAGAGGTGGTCATGGTAGGCACACTTACTCTAGGTGATGGCCTCCTTTTTCCTCTCTGTCAACCGATTAAACAAATGATGCTTAGTCATGATGTCAGTCTCCGGCCAGTATGCTGTTGCAGGTGAGTTGGTTGCTTTTCCAGTAGAATTTGAGTTGAATGTAGTCATGATCCACAAGCTGTATAGAGTCTTGGAAAAGGCCTTTGGAAGCACATGAGATGAACAGTGCACCATTGTAAGACAAAACTGCAGAAATGATTGACATATACGTCGAAGAGTATCATCATATTTCATGGCTTATGATGACTACCTTGTTGAACACAGAGTTGTTCCCAAAAACGAAAGTTTTAAGGGCAGTTTCAATGAGTGGTGCACACATGTAACTGTCCATGAATGGTAGACGCATGTAGCTGTTAGTAAAGAGAGCATGAGCTAACTCCTGATGGATGCTGGTGAAATCAATGATGTGTGACTCCTGTTGAAGTTGTTGCAAATCTGTCAGCACTCTGGGCTAGCATCATCAGTGCTGTGTGAGTTAAAAACACGACAGGTGAAGGAGAGAGTAATCAGTGTGATGCTTTTGTGTTCCTATACAAGTGTTGATTGTTCCAGGGGTGGCTATGGTTTGTTTTTGTTCTTCTGCATGGTGACGTGGAACAGTGAGTGCTGGCTGATCCAAATTAACAGTTATTAATCCCTTTCTGCACTGTTTTTGGGTTCTGCAGAGGCCTCTCGGGATCATTGCACTGTTGGATGAAGCATGGTAAGTTTTTGTGATTCCCACGTTGGGTCTTCTACCCCCTTCGAGCGGTTTTAAATTTGCGACATGATCCGAGCTCTGGCAGTGCATCATTTGTTACTTGAATTTGGACTTACGACAGCCATTTCTTCATTTCTTCTAGGTTGGGCCGCCGCCTGGCCGGGCATGCCCGGCCGGTTGGGCCCAGGGGGGTCCGCCCGGCAAAACCGGGCGACGCAAAAACACAGCAAGGAATTTTTTTATTTTTTTTTTGAAGTTGGGGTTGTGCTGCGCTACCCTAGAGGACCACGAATCTGCAATCAAAAAGTTAAATTGGGGGGTGGGGGGGTTCGGGGGGGGAGTGCTGGCGGAGGGATGTCAGGGGGGGTCTGGGGGATGTCAGTGCTGGTATGTCACAGACCTTGCAGGTGTGTATGTGGAAGAAGAAGAAGAAGAGGAGGA